CCCACATTCTGCATAATTAGTGGGTTTTGTGATCTTAGTAGAAATGTAGTCTTTTGGTGATCTTCTAAATGACGAAATGATGGAGAGATTGTTGTAACTGTCTGAAATAATCTGTTTCTTTCGGTCTCATAGTGAGGACACTGGCTAACAAAATGTATTTCATTTTCCACTGCATTCATTGTACAATATTTACATAATCTCTCGTGCACAGGTAGTTTTCTATAGCGGCCTTTTTCTATCTCTAGTGGATGCGCACTTATTCTAATCTTACACATGGCAGCTCGTTCGTCGACTTCATTGTGGTATAGATATTTTTCTATGGAGTATTCGGATTTGACGGTCTTGTAAAATCTTAGCTTACCGTTATCTACAGACAATTGGTGAAAGAACGTTTGAACATACATATCAGTCAGTCTTCTCTTCAACAATGCACATATACATGTTACTTACCATGCAGACGCTGCAGATACGAACCAATCCAAAGTAGGGTGTTTATGAAGACATACAATATAAGAATGAATGAATAACAAACTTTATTGGACATTAGACACACTTGGCTACGTACAGGTCACAACAAAGCACGATGAACAGATACAGTCAATAAATAGAAAATAGAACTAATAAAACTACTATCATTAGATAAATTCAGGTTCTCCCTGCTTTTCAGTTATGTTCGAGATAAAAAAGAACAGATATGTTTTTCGATGGAAGGTTTGTAATTGCATTACATCATCAAATCCTTAAAAAAAACATGCTTAGAAATCTTAGCAAAAGTCAACTGTTTGGGCAAAATTCCTGGAAAAGCTAATCCTTTGTTCTCACATCCCCGTGTATATGTGAGGATACGTGGTATAGTTTAGTCTCTACCTGACATTTAGGAGAATATTTGCCAGGGGAGTTTGGCCGCCTTGTAGGTTTTACTGGCCGCGCAGTTAAAGAAACTACCTCCCCGCGGCCAGACTCCCTTGGCCAATTTTACTCTTTTTTGACGAATTCTACGATCCGTATTCCCGTAGAAAGGCCTGGTCGAGGCCAGTCACGATCTCAAACGTACCATTGCGTTGTGTTAGCCCCATAACTCAGTCCCCACTCCAGACAGAATGAGTTAAAAGCCGTGCATTGTTAGGCACCCATACAAGTAGATAGAGGCAGTTTCTGGGTTAATTTTCTGCTCAGAGCCAGTCTGAAAGCACCCTATTTAATCGCCCAGCGAAGCCGGGCTTTGTGGCGAGCTGTCCCCGCGTACTCACCTCTGACCCCGCCGGTATTGGGGAGGGCTTGTTCGGTGCCATCGGTGCCGGGGAACAATGCCGAGAGGGGGACACAATAGTGCAGCGTGAAATCTTAACCACGGCCCGCATGGACCGGGCAGGCTGAGAAAAACGGGGCGACAAACGGGGAGAGATAACTTTCACACGTGATCGTACGCTGTACTCTTTACGGGTGGTGATTCTGTGGAATAGACTATTATAGAGTAACTCCACACGACACCGCTGTTCGTTCAAGCTATACAGGTTAAAGGCATATTTTTGCCACACTGGCTAATGACAAACCATTTTAAACGTACTGTTTGGAAAATTGCCACTTCTTCTATAATATGTGGGTTCTTTGATTTTAGTAGTAAAATTGTTTTCTCGTGGTAGGGAATAGTGGGAAAGTATATATATAAGGGAGCATTTTGGACACGGTGGTAAATAATTGTTTTCTGATATCGTCATAAAATGAACAATTAGAGATGAAATGATTTAAAGGCATCCATGCAATGCGATTTCAGGGCAGCAAAACTGGAAATGTTATGAATTAGGCAATCTTTGTGATATTGACACATACTGCTTCACATTAGCACATTTGAATCAGCATCCCTTGGGCTTTTCAAACTGCAGAAACAAGCCCAAAGATGAGTCCTTTAGTCTCTGGGTGGTACCCTAAAAATCAGCCAAGAGCCCTTTCAGTAACCATTTTCCGTCAGAATTTTGGGAATTTTTGTTCCATGAGGGTCAATATACATTGGGACAGTGTGGTTTCAACTAAATGACTAGAATATTGGCTTTGAAAAATCGGATTTCCAAGCCCTACAAACTGCATTGGATGCATTCAATATGACCAAAATACACTTCTTGGATGACAAAAATGCTTCCACTTCTTGTACAAAAAGCATGAAGTTCCGTATTAACAGAATGAGCAAAAAATTGATTTAAAGTCCTGATGATTTATGTTATGTAAGGCCATTTGGTTTGGTTTACTTAGTATTTGGATCTCCCTTAGTGACAAGTCACTACTAGTCTTCCTGGAGTCCACATTAAAAATATTATGAAATATAAGAACGGAAACACAATGCAATTTATAAAATGGAATTGATTAACAAAAAACTAACACAAGCTGAACTCAAAATCGGAGTGATAGTAAAATGATTTGGCCGTTTGCTGGCGAGAGCACCAGACAGAAGATATGCTTGTACGGTGTAATTTAATGTTGATCTCTTTCGAAATTCCAAAATGGACTTCGTACCTCAACATGCATAACCATTCTGTTGTCTAGCCTCCGTAGCAGGCTTATAGAACTGGGGGCTTTGTGGTCTTTGGCCGTCTTCTGATTAGCCCAGTTCTAAACAAAACGGGGGTAATTCAACCAGGCCGACTATGTTGTCTATATGCAATCAGAAAATAGCACATAAAAGCTCCCAAACACCATGAAGACCCCTCAAAACCCCTCAGTTTTTGGCATGCTATGCAATGCTATGAAGGCTATCTGTTCTCACACGCACGGAAAGAAACACGCAAGCACGTATGATAACTGTTAGAAGTGGAGCACATGCTACCAGGGCTGCAGAGAAGTAGCCTCTACCAGGCTTCGGGAGGCGGCCGGAAAGAGTAGAAGTCGGCCAAATAGAGAGATAACATGCCAGGGGAGTTGGTCCGGTAGAGAGTACAGTTTGCCGCACCCGAAGCCTGTGCGGGCTTACTATGCATAAAAGTAATCCCCCCATTTAAAACAAACTGTACTCTTCTACGGTACGGCCCAACTCCCCTTGCATGTTGTCTCTCTATTTGGCCGATTTTTACTCTTTCCAGCCGCCTCCCGAAGCCTGGTAGAGGCTAGTAGAGAAGAGCTGTACTATCATATGCCGGACACATGTGTTGAATCCGGGGTGTCAAGTTGGGTCAGAAGACGACGTAAAATGTCCACTTGGCAGCGTCACTCCCGATTTACCGACGGTACACTGATATTGTCCAGAGCATGTGTTCAAGTGACTTTGAGAATGGTACTCACGATGAAGTAGATAACTGAGCCTCTCAGGGCTCGAAATTAACAGTGTCTCAATATGACCACTAAAGTTCAGGCCAGGACTACTAAAAATACACTTTGGGACATTTTTGGGACAATAGAAAAATAATCAACACCAGATTTAGAATGTCCCAGCTTTTGGCCCCGGAAAATTCCCCCCGAATTTTCTGTCTACGAGCCAGAACGTAAGCAAACAATAAAAATAAAAGTAAAAATAAAGTTGACTTCAAGTTGAAGTCATACATACTTCCTGAAAACAGGTTGGGACAGTTCAACCTTTTTGGGACAGTGCTGGGACAATAGGAAGCTAATGTCGAGGCCTGGCCTCTTAGTAAAAGTATTAGTAGAATTACTCCATTTGAAGTCTCACTTTGAAATACATTAATAAGTTACGAAAAGAAAGTTTTAGAGTAATTGTTAAAGAAATATCTACTAATGCTATCCATTAATTTTAGAGTTTTGCTTGTTCCGTAGCTTTGGCTATTAATCTATTAAGACTTTAAAATTGAAAACCATCTTCATACAAAAATCAAAACAATACCACTATCCCCACCCGATAATGTCCACTCATTCCCTTGTGAAAGGTTATGAATTATTTTCTTTATCTACAGCTTTACAAACAAACAAACAAATACATTGTATTCTATAAAGACGACACAATAAAAGACGACAGTCATCAAACTCAAACTCATGGTATATACAGTTACAATTTAATATGTATCCATACATAAATAAGCAAACTATAAAATACACATTTTCTGTAGTTAATCTCCAATATCTTAGCAAACAAGACATTGTCTGACATCTACTTTTAAATGACATTTATGCGTGTGTAGGAATTAAAACGTCTGTTAATTACAATATACAGCATAGCTTCGTGGCAGTAGCAAAAAATACTTATGACCATAGAATTATTATTAATATATATAAAAGAATAAAAATTATTATGATACACATTTGAATAATCATAACACTAATTTATATGAAAACAAAGTGCGCCTTTCGTTTCTTGTTGCCACTCTCACTTCTTGTAACATCATATTTCATATTTCCAAAAGACTATCTCCTCTCAAAGTGATCAGTTGCTTTATGTAGTGTTTTTGAAGCAAAAAACAATGGATATAGATATTCATTCAAGCCAAGCGCGGAATTTTCTTGGCAATCGACAACCACAAATATTTCTGATGATTTTTGTCAGTACTATGTCAGTACTATGACTGTGCTGTATACTGTTCCCTCACAATATCTTGAGTTTTTCCAGACTGGACTTTATATATACATTTTGTGCTAGAGTCAGTTGTAAATATGGGTTCTCACTTCTCACTATATGGGTTCTCAAAGCTTGACTCTGACTAACGTTACACGGTCCACGTTGATAATATCTCAAGACGACACCAATATAGTATAGTGCGAAGTTACTAAGAACTGTGACAGTTACAACTGTACTAGCCTCCATAGCATGCCAAAAACTGGGCGCTTCGTGGGTCTTCAGGGTCTTTTATGTGCTATTTTCTGATTGCATATAGACAACATAGCCGGCCTGGTTGAAATAACCCCGTTTTTATAGAACTGGGCTAATCAGAAAACAGCCGAAGACCACCAAACCCCCAGTTCTATAAGCCTGCTACGGAGGCTACAACTGTACGACATTTGGCAGCGTTTTTATACGCCATGTCTGTCTCTTGCTATCGTTCCTCAGTCAGAGACATGCGGACATTACTGAGTTCAGAATGGACCACTGTACAGTTCAGGTCAGGAACTTTCATCTTCTTCACGTTCCCCTGTTCTTGAAGAAGCCTTTGTCGGTGAAACACTCCCTGACGGTGACCGTGACCATCCCAGTCGTGACGTCCGTGATGAGAACCTGGTTCATCAGGCCGTTCGGAGGCTGCCAGCCCGCGGCTTGGGCGGGGTAGGCGGCGGGACGGGAGTTCGACGGCCGCGGAGCGAGTGGGGGGTTCCGTGCCTTGGCGGGTGGGTCCACCACCACGGTCTGTTGTTTTCGGCTTCCCGTGTCCTCAAATGGATTCCATATCTCGAAGACTGGCTGTTTACGTTTGGACGAGTCTTTTTGTGGTTTGTTAGGAGGTGAGGAAGGCTTGTGGGGTGGGGAGATGGGGGACAGAGTGGGAGGGGTGGGGGCGGGGACGGCATGGCTGTGTTTCTTGCTTTTCCCCTTTGGTCGGCCCACACGCCGACGGACGGAGAGATCCTTGGGCTTGTCTTTGGACCGTTTCTTGGCTTTGTGCGTCTTGGACTTCACCTTGAGAAGCGGGGCCGGTCGCTCCGAGGCCTTGGTGTGATTTAGTGGTGCGGCGGGACTCCGACTTGGCAGCGAGATCTCGTCACCAGCCGATTTAGTTGCCCCTCCGAAGTGACCTTTGTGTTGGGTTTCCCTTTCCCAGGGAGGCCGGGCGGGAGTCGGGCTTCTCCCCGGACTGCCTGCGATCTGCTGCCCGCCCGGGCTCGGCTGGTCTTCCCCAGAAGACATCCCGGCCGGGCTCGGGGCTGGGTCGTCTTCACTCGGCGGAGAAGCGGCAGGACGGGACGACGCCAGCCCGTTCGATTGGGACGACTCCTGGTCAGGACTGCTGCCTGGCGCTTCTTCCTCCTCAGTTCTAACATGGCCGCCATGGTCCTCCTGCTCCGCGTACCCTTCCGAGTTAGGTTCGGGGAGCGCCACAGAAGCGTCCCCATGTCTCATCTGTGGCAGCAAAACATCAAGAAACACATAAACATCACAACCATTCAACTGTGCTAAAGCAACAATAAATGAGATTTATAGTATAATTGAATAAAATGTGAAATGCTTACCCAAGTAGTAGTGGATATATGTCTCAATGGAAGTCATTGAAAATCAGAAAATTATTTTTACCTGTAAACGAAGCTTTTTCGGCTTGGGACCTCTCTTGTGGCCACCCGTCTCCCTTTCACGTAAGCTGAAATGGTCACAAAGACACAAAATCACCGACTGGCCATTTCCCGAACTTAAAAGCAATGAGCTTCTCAACTCCCAAATCCGCCATGTTTAGAAAATGGGGCACGCAGAGGCGGCCAGAAAACCCCCACAAAACCCACCTATTTTCGAAGGCTGCGAGAAGTCTGGGGTCCAGAATATTCTCCTCGGGCTCCCAGGTGTTGTACCTGAACACAACATGTCGGTGGTGAGACAAGGGCAGGTGAAAAACGCAGCGAAAATGGACAAATCTGGACGCTACTCCAACCATCCCTACAGCGTACTTACTTGGGCGACCACCCCTTCCATTTCACCAGGTACTCGGCTTTGCCCTGGAAATAGAAAACACACCGATAGTGAGACAGACATGTCGTGTGCACGGGCACAAACTACACAAACCGGAGGACATGTAGGGAAGGGCCATCACCTTTCGGATCCTTTTTCTCACCAGGCATTCGGCGGCGAAAACTCGTTCCCCTACAGCCGACAGCTCCATGTTTCGGCAGATAAAGCTGCTGCGTGCTGCCGACCTCCAATGTTGGAATTCCCTGCGGTGCGCATCCCATAATACTCTCACGTGACGCTGGAAACGTCATCGCGCAAGCTGTTATCGTCCAGGGGCGAACCGTTGTTTGTCTAAAGATAGCAAAAAACATTTAAACTAGATACCATAAAACTAGTTATATTTTTATAATGTTCTTATGAAATAAGTACTACATTTGATTTCAATTCTATTTAGAATTTCAATATTCTATAATTTGAACTGTTGACTTGAAACAAAAATTATGTTTATATTTGGAAAATTGCTCATTACGTACATTAGAAAAACTCTAAATCCTAGCTATTTTGTTATTAGGTTCGTGTTCATATAAAGCATCACGTTCGTTGTTTTCAGTCGGGCAGTCGCATGAATATGAACAAAAAATCAACTCAATTGAAAATATGTTTCATTCGTAGATTTATTTTAGTGTCACTATCAATAGTACCTTTTTTTGCAAAAGTTGCAAAATTGTTAAATTTGACAGTCTGCTCGTCTTATTTGAAATATGTGATGTTTTCATTTTTATGCAATTTCAGGTAACAAGCTGGCCAAAGGACTTGTCCAGAAAAAAGGTGGGACCTCACTTTGACAGAAAGTAGTCATGCTGTAAGTGTAACTTAATTCTTTTTGTCGTCCCGTTGTTACATATACAAATCATAAAACAAGCTACACAATTGAAGGCGAAATCCGTTTTAATTGGGGTATAACAAAATTTAGAAAAATAAGGAAAAGTAGACAGAAGAGACAAGAGTTTTCCTAACTATTTTCTTTTTTGGGGTAACTTTTCAACGTTACTATTATACAAAAGAAAAGGGAATGTTTAAATCTTGAAAAATCTGTATTGGTAGAAGTCATTATGAGAATGTTTATAGATTGTAGTATAGTAGAAATGTGTGTAGTAGTAGCTTGTGTGCATATTTTTGGAGGCAGGTCTCCTTTATTTGTTAACTTTTCAACGTTTAAAGAGAATGTTTATATCTTGATCTGTGTTGGTAGAACTAGAAGTCATTAAGAGATTCATAATGTGTATAGATTGTGGTAGAAATGTGTGGAGTAGGATCGGATCTAGTAGTGTGTGTGCATATTTTTGGAGGCAGGTCTCCTTTATTTGTGGTGCTGTCCGCTGCATGTCCGGTCAGGTTCCGAACGACATGAATAATCGGCGTGACCCGGGTTAATCTGTTCCACAGATTACTGCATAAATCAGAGCTGCAAACATTTCCCAGGGGAGCACAGGCTGACTGCCACAGTACCAACACAAAGGACCTGCCGTCAGGCTTCTGGTACCTAGCCTCCATAGCATGGCAAAAACTGTGGGTTTTGGGTAGCCTCTACCAGGCACCGCGGATAGTAGAAATTGGCGGAAATAAAGGAATAATATACCAGGGGAGGTAGCTGGCCAGAGAAGATCCAATTCGCGACCCTGACCGGCTATACCTCCCCTAGTATAATATTATTTCTTTATCTCGGCCAATTTCTACTATTTTTTCCAGCGATCCGCGGTGCCTGGTAGAGGTTAGGTTTTGGGGTCTTCGGGGTCTTTGGGAGCTTTTATGTGCTATTTTCTGATTGCATATAGACAACATAGCCAGCCTGATTGTTGTTTTAGAACTGGGCTAATCAGGAAACAGCCAAAGACCACCAAACCCCCAGTTCTATAAGCCTGCTACGCTATCTGGTACCGCAGTGCGTAAACTTTAGCCTCCACCAGGCTTTTCTGTGGGAATACGGATCGTAGAATTCGGCAAAAAGGAGAGTAAAATTGGCCAGGGGAGTCAGTCCGCGGAAGGTTGGTTAATTCTTTCTGCGCGGTCAGTCAAACCCCAAGGCGGCTAAACTTCCCTGGCAAAAATTCCCCTATAAATATATAGCCAGCGTAGTTAGTCTGGTAGAGACTAGGTAAAGTTAGGTGTACAACAAACCCAGAAAAGTGTCCGTGTAATAGTTAAAAGCACAACATATATGGGTGGAGCGTTTTTTAGGCCGTGCGGCATTTTTTTAGTTGCTAAAAGCATTGTTAATGAAGAATTATTACTCGAAAATGGGTTACTACGAGGTGGTATGTTTCCACGTCATGACAGGAAAAATAGTGGCTATTTTGCCGCTCTAAAGAGTTGCCGGTGTGTGTTTGTAATTGTTATACTTTCTGTACGCCGTTTTGTTTTGAGTTTGCCACAATCAATTATGCATGAGTTTGTTTGACAAACAGAAACAACTGGTGCTTGGCAAAAAAAAACGTACTCTTTCAGTCTTTGTTCTGATCATGTCGGGAAAAACGTTTGGAAATTTCAACGAAAATCTAGTTCTGACAAACAATTCACATTTTTTTGCTATTTGTTCTAGTATCATTAATACCAAAAATGTCTGTGAGTTGGCTAGTGAACTCACTACTGAACGGATCCACTACTCACCCCTTGCGCTTAACAACGAACTTTCCCCAATCGGACCCTCGCAGGGTGACGTAATGACCCCTATTTTCCATGTCAACAGGGGGCGTGGCGTCGCTTAGGATTTCACACGATTCGGTGTTAATATCATTAGCACCCTCTGTCCATATACCCCTTCACGGCACACACTTCGCTTCATTCACTCAATTATCCCCTAGATTCCCTCCCCGCCTTTTAGTTAGCCGGGCTATCACAGAGAAGGGGGAGGGGGATGCGGAGTTGTGACGCAGTAGATTTTTCAGCCCGCATCAGACAATAGCGCGCTGAGCTGGCGGGAGTGTGACGAGGTTTGGTGCGGCGATTACGATCGAGCGGCCGCTGACATTGATTTTTTAACGTTGCACTCACTAAAACTGACAGGTGATCATTGCGACGTACCAGTGTTGGAGACAAAATGGGCCTACTACGCTTTAGAGGAAATAAATACAAGGTTGAAATGCTAGTTGGCCATTTTCATAGTTGACTGTGGTTGGCAATACTAAAGAAGAAGTCAAACCCAGTAAAACTAGTACCATGTATGTTGTAGAATATAGTAGAATGCTAGACGTAGATATAGTCTCACATACCACTGTATTTAATGCCAGACGTAGATATAGTCTCACATACCACTGTATTTAATGCCAGACGTAGATATAGTCTCACATACCACTGTATTTAATGCCAGACGTAGATATAGTCTCACATACCACTGTATTTAATGCCAGACGTAGATATAGTCTCACATACCACTGTATTTAATGCCAGACGTAGATATAGTCTCACATACCACTGTATTTTCTTTCTTATGTTGTGTGTAACTGCAATTAGCCCTCGGGCAAGTATTTGCAATAAACTAACATATATTATTTCCTAATATCTAAAATAATTTCCTATTAGAATAACTAATAGAACTTCGTACATGCTTTCCTTGTACATTTTACAACTCTTTTCTGTAGCGTACAGCTTTTTTCACCGTAACGTTTTTTTTTAACAAACCCTTCAGGCATATTTCTATACATAGAAATAGTTTTAGACTCGTGTTATTATGTAGATTTTGAAGTTATTTTTTTATACCCTGTCTCAATGTTCTTTTATCTTTGTTATTTGCAATTAGCCTTCGTGCAGGAATCTGCTGCAATAAACTGAAAACATGTTACATTAATTTCTGTTTAATGTTACACCGATATTGTGACTGCATAGTACGTAGTGATTGCCACGCTTGACAAACGCTTTTTTTCCATCTCATCTACAAAAAATGAAAAATAATATAATAATGGAAAACTTTTTGGGTTAACTTCTACAAAAAAAATTCAAAAATATAATAATGGAAAACGTTTGGGGTTAACTTCGTGTTTTCTCTGACTTACTAAATATAACGATGCTCATAGAGACGTTAGGCTAACTGTTGTCACTCCTACCTGACCTATAGCCTCCATAGCATGCCCAAAACTGGGGGTTTTGGGGGTCTTCAGGGTCTTTGGGAGCTTTTATGTGCTATTTTCTGATTGCATATAGACAGCATAGCCGGCCTGGTTGAATTACCCTCGTTTTTTTAACTGGGCTACTCAGAAAACAGCCACAAAGACCACCAAACCCCCAGTTCTATAAGCCTGCTACGGAGGCTATACCTGACTTGACAAGCCTCCCACCCGCTGACTACGTATGAAACTACACGGAAGGCAAGTTCGAAACCGTTTGATGTTACTAACATTTTCTAATTGTTTGCCACAAAACCCAGCGAATAAAACACTTCATAGGAATATTTATACACGACCTATTCTGCCATGGTAGCGCAGTGGAACAGGCATTGGACGGTTTCCAAGTTCAATATGTAGAACGGATTAAATTGAGCTATAGCTTGATAAATCGGGGTAGCCGTACTTTGGAAAATAAACAAAGGGCGCTTGCATCGCCAGTCGCTGTGTAGTTACCAAGCAATGCTATCTCTGAACGGACATTAGCACAATGAGTTTGGTCACAGTCCTGATAATTTGTGGCTATACTGACTTATCCAAGGAAGTTTTGGTTAAACTAACAATTTTTGTGACGTCGTCGGTGGATATTTTTTTAATGTCTTAGCATTCGTGATACTGTCGGACAAATGTTTACTATATGCTAAATTATCAAGTAAACGTCCATAGTATATCGAAGTCTAGTTGGTATATATTGAAGCTAGCTATTTCGATCTAACATATTCATGTCTCATGTAAGCTTTTCTTTCATCACGATTTTAAGTGATTGCGAACTCTGTCCTAGCTATTCAACGAAGGCTTCACACTATATAAAAAGAATAGCAACAAAAGTGTAATTTCAATCTTTCCAAAAAAGGCGTGCTTTTAGTACCTCTAGTATTCAGTTAGCCTCCGTAGCAGGCTTATAGAACTGGGGGTTTGGTGGTCTTAGGCTGTTTTCTGATTAGCCCAGTTCTAAAAACGGGGGTAATTCAACCAGTCGGCTATGTTGTCTATATGCAATCAGAAAATAGCACATAAAAGATCCCAAAGACCCTGAAGATCCCCCCAAACCCCTAGTTTTTGGCATGCTATGGAGGCTAGTATTCAGTGTCATCTGTGGGAAAGGAATG